CTATCTATCTATCTATCTATCTATCTATCTATCTATCTATCTATCTATCTATCTATCTATCTATCTATCTATCTATCTATCTCAGTTTAATTCGACAGTAAATAAACAAAAACAACAAATGTTTCAAGTTTTAGCTCCTGTTTGTGAACTGTTGTCAGTTTATCTCCAAACAACTATCAATCAAAACTAAATCCAGTGTTGTTTGAACAGTTAGTTATCTGTAATGACGCCGTCACTCCGCCTGTTTTTTAGACAGCAGAATGATGTGATGCGGAGTTTGTGGGGTTAAATTGTTGTGTTTGCTGCAGTAACCTCACAGTAACCCCTCACCCCATCAGAACTGAAGGCTCTTAGATTCTCTCTCTGACAGTCACTCAGACAACGATGGTGTTCTCCAGTCAATTTCTTTGAAGTGTGAACGTTGCGTGCTCCATTTTGCAGGCTGTTTTAAATAATTCACCTGATTTGCACTGAGTGCTGGTGGCGGTGGGAGGCGCCGGCTGCTGCGCCGCTCTGTGGAGTGCTGCGGGTGATATGTATGCAGGGCCACGGCCGCTCTACCTGCCTCACTCATTGTTGTTACACACACAGCACTCTCACGGGTGGTGTAATTGGATTCCATGGGTCCCCATTTTACAGTTCATTGCCATGTAATGAAATCAGTTATTTACTTTCATCATAAAACCTGATAGGAGCAACATCTGTTGGGGTAAAGTTTGAGTGAGTGCTTCAGGTGAATGTTGATGCGCGGTGGTCCTCGGCAGCTTCTGCAGCACCGCGAGTTGTTGCTTTGTGCACTCAAAGCAACACTTGGTTGCCGATATTTCAGAATCTACAAGTTATTTTGGCTCAACTTTGAGCATGAGCACAGAGCGGAAGCAACAGCCTCTTACTCGCCCGTGTTGAAGGAAAGGCTTTGCAGCAGTGTGTCCCCTGCTCCGCTCAGCCTGCTGTCTCATTATTCCGCTGCTACACTGCTGGAGGACACTGAAGGACACAAGCGATTGAATTCAAGTGTTGTATATTCCCTGGAAACCAATCAAGAAAAGCCCCAGAATAATAATCCTTGTCCACTGTCATGATTCATTTTTATTTTGTTCCATATTTTTCTCCTGCTTTTGAGTCACTCAGGAAGGGTAGTTCCAGCATAAAATCAATGTTCCATTAAAATTTAATGGCCAGGAAGGGCTTAATAGTGGTGGAACAGATGCCTCTGCTTTAGAGATTGCCGACATCTGAAGAACTCCTATTCAAAGTTATATCGGTGTTGTCAGGTTCCTCTGATGGCTACCCTTTTAGCTGCTCTAAAAGCTGAAGATATTGGCTTTTTTTTTCTCCCTCGTAGTGGTGAAATTAAAATTTAGGAAATTGACAGTAAAKCTCATGCAATCCCTCAAACATTGGCAGAGGAAGCTGCAGCTGATGGCACATTATTGTCTAAGTATAATTATTCACTGTGTTAATGTTGACTGAAGGCTCCTCCAAACAGACACCAGACTCACTTCTTTCTAAGTGTGAACATCTGCAGGATAAGTTGGTGCTTGCACGTTTTTTATTTCCTGGGATCAAACTGAAAAGAACAAAATGCAGGAAGATGAAACTGAAAGACAGTTGTAAAAAGAAACACGAGTGGACTTGCTGGTTCCTTGTGCTATTGTTTTTATTATTGTTATCATTGCTATTGTTGTCATCATTAATAATTGTAGCAGAACAAGAAAAATCAAAACACCCCTCAGCAATCATGGCTTAAGTTTCTTCATACTCAGCTGGAACAGAGACTAAAAGAGAGAGTAGGAGACAGAATGAGGAAGAAAGTGGAAAATCTTAATCAGTTTTTTTTTTCCTTTCTTTGAGGACCATATGGATGGTTTCGAGCAGCCAACCATATGTTGAAGGCTTTTGTCATGGAAATCATACTTTTTGGCACTTTTTCATTGCGCAGCCAAGCTGGGCACATAAATACAAAGAAAAGCAAAAGAAGATAAAAAAAAAGACTAAACAGGATCAGATCTTTGAGGAAACACAGAGTTGGAAGTTTTTGTTTGAACTTAGAACAGATAGCTTCTTAATCAAGACACTCCCTGATTCGCGTGGCCACCCAGACTGCAATTGGTACCTGTATTTTGTCTTTTTTTAAATATATAAAAAAAGACTTGAATAGAAAAAGAGCATTTAAATGTCTACATGCATTGTGATATTATTGCTGTGATATATTTACAATTCTATTTACAAAAGAGGAACAATGTTTCCCTACATCTAAGCGCTGTAGTTTACAATTAAGTTGTGCCTCCTTTTCTGTAATTAGTCTTTTTTTTTGCTGAAGTAGATCTGTAATACTGCTAGTTATACTACATCTACAGCACATTTACAGTAGGTGTTTTTTATTATTTCAGTGCATTCGTCTGTAATAATAAAACAGCCCCCGGATTTAGAAGATGGATGATAGCCATCCCACTCAGTAAAAGAGAAAAAAAAAAAACAACGAATAAGGGGAATCTTTTGGAAGCAATAATTTCTGCATTTGTTTAACAATCGAGCAACGCTCCAAACGGTGCGTTGTGCGGGTGAATCATTAGACAGGTGGTTTGGATGCTCTCATGCAGTGATTCAGCTGTAGCACTAGACAGGGACGATGGTGGAACAGAGAGGAGAGGAAGGACAAATAAACCTGCTCTCCTTTTTCTCTCCAGTTTTTGTAGTTTTGTGTTTCAGAGCGACTGCCACGGCACCATCTATTTGGAATATGCAAATCGCTGACAGTGCATTTGCCTGCTGGTGCTTGACCTTCCCCTCGGAGGTCGCTCACCGACTCAATTACGCTCCCTATCTGCAGTCTGTCTACAAACACCTGTTATCCTCCCACACGCCGCCACCCTCCGACAATCCCACTTCAGCACATCTAATGCTCGCAGCGTCTGTTTGGAGGCAGTTGGGACGGGAGGAGGACGGCTGGCTGGGAGGGGAGGGATACGGGACAGATGAAGTAGGAGTTGGAAGCGCGTCGCTGCGAGTCGTTTTATTACAGCAATCTTGAAAACTCTCTTTGCCAGTAAAGTTCATGCCAAGATCATTTTCATTAGTGCTGCTTAAGAGAATGCACAGCCACTTCCTTCCCGACCTCAGAGAGTTTAAACCGCTCTGACAGAGTGAAGATAAATAGTCAATTCTACTGTATTTAAAGGCTTGGTTATTTTATGACTTAATAAGAATCTATTTTAGTTGTTCTTAAAAGCTAAAGCTAAAAATAATAATTATGATAGAGAGTTGTTTTTYTTACCAAGTGACKTAACACTTGWRTTAGTTTCAAATAGCAACGTTATTRTTGCTGTTCTTTCTTTCAAATTGTACCGAGTTTAAATAAAAACAGGGTTCATACACAAAACTGTAAACCACTTCTGAGAATTAGTTATTGCCTGAGATTTAAAGACTATAAAAATGGGCTAAAACGTTTCAGTGGTGGGGGGAGGCATTAGTCTTTTTTTTTTTTTTAGAAAATGCTCGGTATTATTTGGGGGATTTGTTTTCATTATTAATTTTTATTGCCTTGAACAAAACAGAACAGCTGTGATTGTTTTTAACATGTCAATTGCTTTGTCAGTCATGTTATTGCATCAAAACTAAAAAAAAGGTACTTCTGCATTTATTCATTCATTGGAAGTCCTCTAGCGCCGCTTCTGTACATTGTTCCTCTTTAAAAACTAAGTCCCACGGACTCTCTACAGTTTTCATGCATATAAACATTTTCTTTGAAGATCAGCAGCATCTTACAAGGTCAATGGATGTATATTAAAAAAACAATTTAAAGAATAAATAATAAATAAATAAGCATTCGATAAATACACAAAATAAGATAAATAAATAAATAAATAGATAAATAAATAAATAGGAAGATAAATAAAGTATTTACATGATAAATAGATGGAATGCATCTAAATCATGGGTGTAGCTTTGAGCGACATAGAAAATAGACAAACATAAAAATCTGTCACTTTGTAACTGAGGGTGTGAGTTTAACCCTTCACTCTGAGGTAATACTGGTGGGGTGGGGTGGGGGGAGCACCTCAAATACTGGTGAAGATTACTTAATAAGACCGGATGAAGCACCATGAAGACAGCAGGGTTTATGCAAGCCGTCATGGTGAAGGAAGAACAAGAGTTGATCTTTTTTTTGCTTGTTTGCTATAGATGAATGAACTGCTCATGGCACTTATTAAATCATTTGGTCTGGCTTTCAGGTGTTTTTTTTTGTCCGAGTCTAAACATCAGGGTGACATTATGAGTTGGATCAGATGAAGAGAGTAAAACTGCCCGGTCAACAGGCCAACATTTGAAAATCACCGCTCTTGCAGAGTTGTGTTAAATGACTTATGATCTTTTTATATATATATAGCTTATTCAGGATGAGCTCTGTTTTAAGTACCCACAGTTACAAAGGTGCTTATTAATTAACAAGACAAAATAAGCACAAAAATTAATTTAGAAAAATGAAATAGAAAAATAACATCCGTTGAACTGAAACATTAGTGTGGAACAAAATGGGGGTCGGAGTTTTTTTTTTTTTTTTTACCTTTTTAAAATGATCTCTTTTTTTGCAAATACTGTCATAGTTCACATTTTTGTAAAAAGTTTATGTTGGCAGTTGCAAAAGAATTCAATTCTTAGCAAATAAAAAGCAGCATAAAAATACAAGAGGTCATTTTGTCTCTAAAAAACAAAAGAACACTGTTAGTCCTTTTTATGTTTTTTTTTTCCTTTTTCTTGTTACTATTTCCTATAAAATATCAGGAATCTAAATATTACTATTGATATCAATATTATAGTCATTGATAAAAATTCACATGCCAGGCCTCATATATAATTGTGTGTTTGTGAGTGTGAGTGTGCGTACGTTTGTACACTGGAGTGTGTGTGTGTGTGTGTGTCAGTGTGTTAGTATGTGTGTGTTTTCATGTTCCCACCATCACGTGAGCACATGTTGCTGAATTGTGTACAACTATCATCTACAGTCTGTATTTTGAGGAAGGTTGTTTGATTGTATGTTTCTGTGGACGATTAGCTACTGTGCAGGGGGGGRAAATCCAGCATCTTTTGAAATTGTCTTTGCCATAATCAGTAAAGTTTCTTCACGTAATCTCAGTGAAAATATTGCTTTCTAAAAAAAGGGAAGAAAAAAGGCATGGAGGGCAGAGTGAACATGGTTATTGGTTGTGAACCTACAACAGGGGTTCAGAGATTTAGCTTCTTCCATGTGGTTAGTTTTCCGATCCGGAGTCGTCCTCGTCTGCGGAGCCCTTGAAGCAAGCTGACTCATAGTGCTTGTTCAGGTAGGACTTGAGAGCGAAGGTCTTATTGCAGCGCTTGCATCTGTAGTGCTTGAAGGCAGAGTGTGTTTGCATGTGGGCGCGGAGGTTTGAACGGTCAGCAAAGGCTTTGCCACAGTGGGCGCATGCGAAGGGCTTCTCCCCCGTGTGTGAGCGCATGTGACCTTGCAGCAGCCAGGGTCGGCTGAAGGCCTTGCTGCACACGTCGCACTTGTGCTTGAGGTCGTGGGTGAGGATGTGCATCGCCAGTGCCGGCATGGACACGTACACTTTGTTACAGGTGGGACACTTGCGGGCCATCTTGCTGTCCAGGCTGCGGTGCGTCTGCTTGTGTCGGCTCAGGTTGGAGGAGGTGGCGTACGTCTTCCCGCACTCGTTGCAGGTGTGGCGAGGCACGCCGGCGCCCCTCTCCTGGGCGCCGCCGTTTGCGCTGCTGCTTCTCGAGCCTCCCCCACGAGCCTCCCCCTCGCCTTTTCGCCTGGAGCGCCCATCGGAGATGAAGAAGGCATCCATGGTGTAACCCTCGGCCAGGGCCTCCGATTCACCAGTGTAGAAGCCGCTGGCTGTCATGCCAGACTGGGGGCTGTCGGGGTGCTTCAGGTCAGGGTCGCAGTACTCCCCTGCACTGTTCACCTGGGTGTAAAGGGGGTCTGACACCGGAGAGGCCAACTTATGCTCCATCTTCTTCTCCCCCTGGTATACAGATGGCGTGATGTAATCCTGGATGTATCCTGGGTAAGAGACAGACGCAAACACAGTTGGCCAGAGGTTGTGATGGATGAGGACACAGTGACGTGTTGTGATTACATTATTACAATGATGGACGACTGCCCTCTTTCAAAACGGTGAACGGATGACTGGCAGCACAGAGCATATTACATGTTACAAAACCTCGGGAAAAACAAAGTACTGGACAAAGTTTAGAAGGCGTTACAATTTGACACTCATCAGAGAACTCTGCTGGGTGGGAAGGTGCGAAATACAGCTCCTCTTAAATCACACCTTTAAATGTTAGCACTGCACATGAAACAAAGAATCAAGTTTAATGCTGAATTCTGTTGTAAATGTTATTCTTTATGATTTTTATAAGGTTTGAAAYGTATTTCGGTATCCATTATTTTTTGTTTGCCTGTTTTCTGGAAACCAATACATCCTTTTAGGTCAGATTCTGCTGCTTCTTCAAGCAGGATTAAACCTGTTGGAGCGAGCCACAATGTGCCGCGAGTGATTTAGGTGTCCCCGACAGTAGAAAGCATGATTTCTGAGAGATAAATGTTTGTTGGCATCATTCCTGTCCTTTCTTTCCCTCTGAAGCAGCTCAGTGAGAGAGGAGCTAAAAGCCTTGCTGGCAGCTAAATGAGCCCAAACCTGATGCTCAGATAGACGCTGCTGAATGCAGACTAAATGCATTTTACTTTCTGTTTTTGTTTTTTTAAGTCCAAATGGGGAAAAAAATCTTTTCCCAGGACAATTAGGGCATAACTGCAGGAAAAAGAAACTATTCCTAAGCGCTCTGTGCAGCAAGCAGTGGAAATTAGGTATTGACTGCTTTTTAATGAAATTCAAAGTTTTGAACTGATCAATAGGCYATCATCTGTAAAATAGTGCAGCTGTTAGAAGAGTCGAAATCTGCTGAAGGTAGAAATAATACATGGAATAGATCAAGTATCTGCAAGACACAATAATAGTTTATTGAATGCAGTTTGCTCGACTACTACATGGCATTGCACATATTGTTTGCAAGCAGGGTCACCTGTCTACAGCAGTGAGCGTGCTGAAGTGCTTTCAGGAAACAAGCCATTAAGAAATCAGTTTAAGTGCTCTCCTTCTACAGCTTCTCCATTCCCAAGAGTTCCAGTTCTCACACACCCCCTTTGTCAAAGACATGACCGTGACACCCGAGGACAAGGAAACTACAGGCCTGTGCACGCGGGATTATGCAGCACTGCGTGGCTTCACAGTTTTCAACTGCACAGACGCTGTTTGTCTGTGACAGAGCGTCACGTTCRCTCTAAAGCCAAATCTAAAAAGCCAAGCATTCATCTGCTTTCAATTTCTTTCTTACAGCTGCTGTTAATCACAAGAACTGCTGCTGCYACGACAGCTAAGAGCAGTGAAATCCACCTGTTTCACAGCCACATTATCAACAATGAAGGGTGCATTCCCTGCATTCAACAACCTGGTTTTATGTCTGTTAATAGTCTCGCTTTTTCTTCCAACAAAACCTACGTGCATTATCACTGTAAGCAGAGGTGTTCAGTGTGTTTCAATTACCCAAGGTCAGACATGAAGCTCATCATTTAGGACTGGCGCTGTATCAGCCTTTACAGCTCATAAACTCATTTCTGTAATGCAAAGCAAGCATGTAATTAATGGACCCTCTCAGCCACCCCTCTTTGTTGTTCGGCAGACACTCAAGTCAAATGTCTCCACAAAGGGGGAGAAAGAGAATTTCTCGACACAGCAGAAGTGCTGACGTTAGCTGTTTCAGCCGCACAGAGAAATCTTTTATTTTACCTTCTTTTTCTTCTCTTTTAATCAGCGTAAACTGAGGGTTTTTTTATCATTCAGTTGAAACAGCTGTTAAAAGAGTAATATGGTCCCTTGTTGTTTTGTTTTGTTTTATTAATGATAATGGCTAAATTTTATGATGTTGAACAATAGAGTCAAGAACAATCGAGTCATAAAATTATACAAATGAATTATCAACTGTTGATTAAAAAACATCTTGCATTATGAAGACTAAATAGGTTTTAGTTAAAGCAAAGTTTAAATAATTGTATTTATTAGGATGAGAATTCTTTAATGAGCCTGTCTTTACTTTAAAATTTGCTGATCTGTTCAAGTTTTTTTCTTTTTTTTGCAACAGCAGCACCAAAACAAACCCTGCCAATGCTGCTTCTTTAAATTCCACCTTGCTGCTGAAATGGTTGAATAACAGGTGGGGATCGTCAACAGCGTTCAGCGCCGTTGGAAAGCTGCKGTGCTGTTTTTCAGCGCGAGGACGTCTTAAGGAATCACAACAAAGGCGCACATATGGCCCGCTAAACGTGGCCACAAAATGGAAGCGACAGGCTTAACACAGGCTGTGAAAGTGAAGGTCGTCTCTCGGCTCTGACCGCAGCTCGGCGTGGACGCTCTGAGCGTTGACCACGGCGCGATTCTGTGCCTTTCTTCGTGTTTACTGTACAGCCTCCGTCACGTGACCCGCCTCGCTGCTGCCCCAAGCATTTTTGTCTCCTTATTCTCCTTCCCCTCACCATCCCTTCCACCTCCCTCCTGGCTTCACTGTACAGTATGGGGATGTCTCTTGTGGCGGCAGTAGGCCTGCATGGCTGAAACTCTAACCCCTGCTAGTTTTCAAATGCCCGGAAGGAAGGGAAAGATGTAGTGGAGCGATGGGGGTGGGGAGACTGTGTGCAAGCTCCATTTGGATGGGAAGAGGGGGGCAAGGGAGGATCGGACCATGATGGGAACTCAAGGACAATAACAGCTAAGGACAAATGTATCATTTGATACTCATCGCTCATATTCATGAATTTTTCAGTCCACATCATTGCCAGATATTGCCAGCCTAAGCGTGTTCAGCCACCACAAGCTTGGTGCAGTTACACAAATACGTAACGGGACCTCCTCCTGATTAGACACACGTTTTGTTCCCTATTTACATAAACTAATCCGTGGCTGTGACCTGAATTGTGTCTGCCCTTCACTGGAGTCAAAAAACAAAAGTCTRGGAGCACACGGATGGGGGTGGGGTGACTCTGAAGCGGATTATTTTGGATGTTAGTGCAGAAAATCAGCTGGCTGCATGTTACATATCATATTAATTTCTTATTGGCTGACTCATGGAGAAAAAACAAAATCTCACCCCAACAAACTAAAACAAAAGAGGACGCCATCTGTTTGGAAATGTTCGGGCATGCTGAAATCAGCAGCGGAGCGTTTTACAGGCACAAGTGATCTTTAAAACTGGAGCGGCTCAGAACTGGAGGCATGTTAACTCACCATTCTCGCTGAGACGAACCCCAAGGCTGGTCACCGAGTCTGTGATGGAGCGGGTAAAAGTAAACGAGTCGTCCAGGTGGTGGTGATGGTTGGAGGTGACCACGTTGGACGAAGAGAAATCATCGAGCTTGATTTTCTTCACCAAAAAAGAGCGGGGCATGTTTCAATGGGTGAAAACACGGAGCTGAGAAAAACGCATGAGAAAAAAAAAAAGGAAAGACCCTCTGAAGATGCACACAAGCAGGGCTGGCTTGGCTGTAATCCTTGTGGATAATGTGGTCATAAACATAAGACAAGGAGGAAAAAAATGGAAACCAGTGGTGAACGAGCCTGATGGCAATGCTGGGTGATGCTCTCTGGTTCCCCCAGCTTCCCCTGGAAAAAAATAAAAAAATAAAAAATAAAAGCGATCCTGTTCAGCACTGGATAGTTCCTGTGATGCAGCAGGCTTAAGAGACCAGTGAGGAAGAGAAGAGATGGAGACAGACAGAGAAAGGAGGGAGAGAGGGAGAGACTGTCAGACTAGCTGAGATCAGCAATCACGCCAGCCTTTATATGGGGCACAGGCAGTGGAAGATCAGGTGGTGCTGCGAAATGGAGCTGCTTAGCTTTAATCCATCAAATGTCCCCTGGGACACACATCAAATTACTACTGAACCGTCTGTGCATTCGCACACAGACAGAGGAGAAAGAACACAGCCAGACCCCCCCTTGCACCCCTGCTGCTCCCCTGTCCTMCTCCCTTCCCCTCCTCCTTTCACCCCGCTTATGCTCGGTGCTCAGAGGAGGAGTAAAAGAGGTGGGCAGACAATGGAGATGTGGATGAGAGCACACTTGGTGTCCTGTCCCCCATTGTCTTCAGATGAAGTGGCACAGTTTATGTTTGTCTTGTACAGGCACTGCCTCCCTCAAGTCATCCCTGATACCTCGACCCGCCTCAGATCTTCACTTCCTCTGGACTCTTCGCACTGTACTTACATGCTAAAAAAAGCAAGTCTGGAGTACAAGAGATGTTATCAAAGTAACTGTAAGAGCTGCAGCTTTTTTTTTTTCAAACTTACAGTGGATTCCAGCACTGTTGATGAGCCAGCTACAGGGGAGAAGTAGAGCTGCTCAGCTCAGCTTGTCTGTCTCCCTCCTCATTACCGCTGCACAGATGTGTGTCCTGCCATGCGTGGCAGTGAATTATCTGATTAATTAATTACATCTTTTTTGATTAGGGTGAAATCCAGAATTAGATCCTTGCTCACCAAATTGGCCACATTTCTCTTGGTGCATTCATATTTGTGCAAATCAATTTGCAGGTGTATAATTTTTTTTTCTGCTGCGCTATGCAATACAGTTTTCATTAAAGCTTTCATGAAACGGAAATGTAAACAAAGCAAAACAGAACATGGTGGCTTCAAATGAAATAAAAATGAAGCACCTGTTAGATTCAATGTGAATCAACAGGGAACACTTGTGTCACATCACTTAATTCAATTATTACTGATAAAAAAAGTAGAACTGAATTAGCAAAACATTATTATCTGCAAGTAAAAGAAAATAGGATGCATTTGCTGTTATCTCGGTAGCAGCACAGGAAGTCAGAAGGTAGAGCAGATCTGTGTACAGCATTTGTTCCAACAKTTGTGGCTGTTTTGTGTGTTCATTACGTGTTTGACTAATAAATGGATAAAATCATCAGGAGGTCAGTCATTAGCCTTTTTTGTAATATGTACATGTTTTGCTTTCTTAAAGAAATATTTGTGAAAGATTATCCCATTGTGCCAGTACAAACTATTTAAAGGGAACATATGCAAAATCCACTTCTTTAGCTGTTAAATACATTTTCTTGTACTTGTCTCTAAGAGACAGAAAAATTTAATTCAGTCTCTCCGGTGCTGAATAGATCTTTATATTTTGTTTGGGTCACATTTTTCAACCTGTTCCGTTTTCTCTATTTTCTAAGATGTTTTCTGAACTATTACATCACAGTTTTTGCAACAGAACTGCCAAATAAGATCTGKTCTTACCAACTACATTTTGGWGGTATTTATTCTCCTCTGGCTCTGGCTCAGACTCAACATGTAAGGCTGGATGGACAAGGCTTCCCTTGTTGTCTTAGCATTTGKAAATAAAGAGTTTCTGTGCTGCTATATAGTCGTAMACCCTTCTATCAAACTAGAATGAACAGCTCTGGAGGGGGCGGGATGTGAAGTGCCTCATTTGCWTTTAAAGAGACAGCCTCAAAATGAGTTGCTTTGAGACACCGCTCAGAAAAGAGGTGAAAGAAGGRCTTGTGGAGTTACAATGAGGAGGAATTCAGACCAAAACATCACAGTTCCACTTTACATAGACCCCAACTAAATGAYTTRAATGTAAAAAGGAAGGATTCAGAAGCAAAATATGACTGCTTTAAAGTTTTCATTGGTGTTCATTGGATTCAAACCAAATAAAACCGGCCAAATCTTGGCATTTAAAAAGTTTTTGCTGTTTACATTAATTGGATATTTACAACAAATTGTTTTCCCCAAACTCATTTTAATTTAAGTTAAGATCACTTGGATCCACCCACCTCCACCCCAAAAATATGAACAAAAAAGAATAAAACATTAAATTAAACGTCAACCTATATGAATTCCTGTTGTGATCAATGCAGATCTTTATTTTTTTTGGCCCATAATGATTTTTTATTTAACAAAACATAAAAAATAAC